ACGATTTTCCTGCTTTTCCATTTTTACGAAAACCACAGAGGCGTCTTGTTCAGCGTGCTGTCAAACCTACACTAGCAAGGAGATCGGGCTGAAACTATAGCTACAAGCTATCCAAGGATGGTACTATAGAATGTCACCTCAAGGTAGGCCTAGTGGCGTCATCTCTTGGTTAGGCCGGAAACTTATCAATCCACCCTCGTATAATGTTAAGGTTGTTAAAGGTGTATGTTTGGAGGACGGCGCTGTAAGGGTGCAAAATATGGACAATGGGCGCGGCGGAATAAAAAAGATTAGAAACGTTCGAAATGTGGTGTTACAGGCGAATGATGAGGATACCGTGGATAGAGAAGGTTAGAAATGAGGAGGTGTTAGAAAGAATAAGAGAACACAGGACTCCATTGACGTCAATTAGAAAATAGGCAAGATATGTTAGTAGGACGCCTCTTCAGGCATGGAGGGTCTAGTCAAAGACATGTTAGAGGCGGAAACGGAAGTTAGGAGGAGTAGAGGTAGACCTGGATTAGATTACTGTTAGCAAGTAGTTAAAGATGGGGATGTAGCTGCTAGTTTTCGGGAAATGCGAAAATTGGCTCATAAAAGAAGCTAGTGGAGAGGAGGTGTGTGTCAACTCGTCTTCTTGAAATGACGATCTTGTTGCGAGGATATAAAATTACAATTTAAAGTCTGTCTGTTTCATAGAATAAGGATATCAGGAACGGTAAGGATATATATAAAAGTGGTGAAGGATAAAAACTAAAAAATGCGTCCTTACCGTCGCGTTTCTAACATAACCCGTTGTGTAATACTTAATAACTTCAAGTTCCTCTTACCTTCAAAACAAGTGCTCCAAATATTGCCCCGATTAATTGAGCTAGGATATAGAAGAGGACATCGAAGATCCGAAAAAGACCAAAAATGAAGCAGCATATTGTCACAGAGGGATTGCATTGCCCTCCAGATACATGACCTGCTATTACAATTGTCATCATGTAACTGAGGCCATAGCACAAGGCTTGGTGAAATCTATACAAATGGAATATATAAAAATCGGGCGATTCGATTGCAGCTGCACACGGAATAACTACGAGGCCCATCGTGCACAGAAATTCGGCAATACATAGTCGAATGATATCGCTCCATTCTTTCGATCTTAGAGCACCTGACAATTAAAAAGAGAGGTAATGTTATATAGACGGGCAATGCAAAACGAAGAAAATGAATGTGAAGTAACAAATGATAGAGGAAAATGCATATTCGTTTTATATAATGTACGTACACCTTTCCTTTTGTTCTCTAATTTTTATGGAAGAAATCAGTGCGATTTCGGAATTTTAAAAACTCTCATTAGTAGAGTACGATAAGTTTGGCGCTAGAGTTAGTATTTTAGTAAAACCGCTCAAAATAACACGAATATGAAGAATAAAATTTTTCGATATCTCGCTTCGTTTTCGAGATATGGACACTTGAAGTTTCAGTTTTAGAAAATGATACGTTTAGCTACAAACAGCTATCGCGTTTAATGTAGGTAACGATAACTTAAGTTTTCTNTTACCTATTTGGCATATATAGTAATTTATTTCATTCTGCTTAGGTCCACTGAATTTAGAGTAACATTTTATTGCCTTCAACACTCAAACGAAGTTCTTTTATGCAAACTGTTTATAAGTAGTGCAGTTTACAGTTTCACTTTCTAACCACCGTATTCTGCATATTAACCATTAATAGTTAATGGATAGTTTGATAGAGTAAAAGACATTAGATTTCTTGACTAAATCACTTCTGTTATTGCGAGCGATTAATTTGGAAATTTGGAAAGCATATGCGGCAAAAAACATATAAAAGCGGACGTAAAAATGCTGTGAACATAAAAGATAAAAAATGATCAGGTATTGGAAAAAGTATGAGAACATAAGACAGTATGGGTTTGAATAAGGAAAAGGACCCCTAGACTGAAAACTGTAACATAAAGTGCTAAGCTGCTAGGTAGAGACAGAAACATTAGCCAAAAAGAAGCAGAGGAAGTCCTTGATAGGATTATAATGTTCGCAAATATGCAGTAAGGGAAATGAAATGTCCTAGTTTTCGGGAAATGCGAAAATTGGCTCATAAAAGAAGCTAGTGGAGAGGAGGTGTGTGTCAACTCGTCTTCTTGAAATGACGATCTTGTTGCGAGGATATAAAATTACAATTTAAAGTCTGTCTGTTTCATAGAATAAGGATATCAGGAACGGTAAGGATATATATAAAAGTGGTCAAGGATAAAAACTAAAAAAATGCGTCCTTACCGTCGCGTTTCTAACATAACCCGTTGTGTAATACTTAATAACTTCAAGTTCCTCTTACCTTCAAAACAAGTGCTCCAAATATTGCCCCGATTAATTGAGCTAGGATATAGAAGAGGACATCGAAGATCCGAAAAAGACCAAAAATGAAGCAGCATATTGTCACAGAGGGATTGCATTGCCCTCCAGATACATGACCTGCTATTACAATTGTCATCATGTAACTGAGGCCATAGCACAAGGCTTGGTGAAATCTATACAAATGGAATATATAAAAATCGGGCGATTCGATTGCAGCTGCACACGGAATAACTACGAGGCCCATCGTGCACAGAAATTCGGCAATACATAGTCGAATGATATCGCTCCATTCTTTCGATCTTAGAGCACCTGATAATTAAAAAGAGAGATAATGTTATATAGACGGGCAATGCAAAACGAAGAAAATGAATGTGAAGCAGCCAATGATAGAGGAAAATGCATATTCGTTTTATATAATGTACGTACACCTTTCCTTTTGTTCTCTAATTTTTATGGAAGAAATCAGTGCGATTTCGGAATTTTAAAAACTCTCATTAGTAGAGTACGATAAGTTTGGCGCTAGAGTTAGTATTTTAGTAAAACCGCTCAAAATAACACGAATATGAAGAATAAAATTTTTCGATATCTCGCTTCGTTTTCGAGATATGGACACTTGAAGTTTCAGTTTTAGAAAATGATACGTTTAGCTACAAACAGCTATCGCGTTTAATGTAGGTAACGATAACTTAAGTTTTCTCTGTCCCTTTTGCAATTACAGTCTCTGAGGGTAGGTTAGGTTACATTATTTGAAGGTTTCACCCTTCCCTTTTGCAGTTACACTCGCTGAGGTTAGGTTACGTTATCTGATGTTTTCCTCGCCTTCCCTTTACATGCGTTCGGTGTCCCCTGTGCTCATTTTTAAGATCAGATTTGTAATCAGCATCCAAAAGACCCTTATGTAGTACATTATTTCAAACGCGGAATCATGATTTGCTACATCAGTATCGAAAAGTTCGACATTTAATCGAAAAAATTTGTTCTTCATTTTCGTCTTATTTAAGTAATAACATTCCTGCTCTTAAAAGGTCCCTTTTTAAATTAATTTTTTGCTATTAAGGGTAGGTAAATACCCATTATATTATCACCGGCCCTAGATTCTTTCAGCGTTGCATTTAAAATGGTTTTACTAACTAAATGCGAAATTAAACGGAAGTCTTATGGCCAATATGCAGAATTAAGCAGTTCAACGTGTAAACTATGTATATTATATATTTTTTCCATTGCAACAAAAGCTAACGAAAGTAGGAAATTTTACATGTAATTGCTACACAGCAAAAATCTCATAAATTCCTGACTAAATGTAAGCACTGTATAAAAGATAACAAAAGAAATAATTTTGCTTTTCAGTATAAAAACCAGCATATATTAGCTGTACTTATTATGACAACAATGTTTAGTTAACATTTTTACGTAGGTATATTCTTG